ATGGAAAACTCCCCCCCCCCCCCCCCCGTATTTGAAAGTAGACTTCGTGTGAATTCAACAAGTATGTAGATATTTGTTTAAATTTACTAATAGAAAGTCAAACTTGGTCAATTGCAAAATTAACATCTTTCAAAAAATATCTAACAGGTAGACTATCGCTAAAGTCTACTTCCGTAAGTCAAATCTTGGGTGATTTTTGGTTAATTGAAAAAACCAACATTTTTGATATGTAGACTGAAATGGGACTCTACATCTATAAAATCACAATTTTTTTTTTTTAAATATAGAATGTAATCCGTAAATTTTCAATTGCAAAAACTAACCTAAAGAGAAGACTGCTTATGGAGTCTACGTGTGTAAATTGTAACGAATGTCTACATTTACGCAGACTGCTTATGGAGTCTATGTTTGAAAATATATTAAAAGTGAACTTGTGTATTATTCATCAAGTTTTTTCAAGATTTTTTTGGTTTGACAGTGTGTGTTAGTTAATCCTAATATGTTTGAGGGATTTTTAAAAGAAAATATGTTATAGTTATAAAATTATGATACTTTTGATTTGATCATGTAATTAGTTAATAATCATAGACATATTGGTAAGTCTACTTTATAGTTTTTTCAAACATGATCGCTAGTTATGTAAACCCTCATTTTTTTTACACAAAATAGCTCAGTTATCTGTTGGTGTGTATGAACTTATGTTTAATTTATAGGCTTCTTTTCTTTTGTTTTGTGGTGCTAAACAAGTCTGATTTCCGTAATGTAGACTTTTTAAAATGTGTACAACAAAAGGAGACTTCTTTATTTATCTGCAGGTAGGAAAGTAAACAAACACTAAAATCTACTCTCTTATATTACTATTGGAGTTGTATTAATTTATATTCTTAGTTTTTTTGTGTTCAAAATCTCTAAAATTGCTATAAAAAAGTCTGCAGATTACATAATTTTAACACATTCAATATTGTGTATGTTAGTTGTTCTTTTAGCTTATGGTGGTTTTTAATTGTTTGGCTGACTAAAGTATTTTATGAAAAACTGATTGCTAACAAAAATTAATAATATCATACAAGTGCAACACAATTAAAAAATTAATACAATGTTTACTGATTATGTATCAGAATATTTATTTACATATGAATATTTTGTAAAGATAAATTATTACAAAGCAATTTTTAAAAAATTCTTGAAGTGTTTGCTTATTCATAATCTTGATATCTCAAATGAAATCTTGGAAAAGAGTACATGCAAAATAAGATAAAATTATTAGAAAACACAAGAAACACATATTCAAATTATATTTTAGTAAACTTCATAAAAGTCTACTTAAAGTTTATGGGTTCAATAGACTTTATTTAAAGTCTATATCCTTAATTTTTAAATAGACTTCATGCCAAAAATAATATCAGATAAAAAAATGTACAATTACAAAATTTGAAAATAGTCTTTTCTGCAAAATAATTCAAAATAATGTTTTAACCTAAAATTAGCAAAGAAAAAACATAGAGCTTGTATCTATAAATTTAGTTTTATATAAAAAAGAAGAAAATTTTATATGAATATATTTAAATATTACATTTTTGGGAAGGTGATTTGAAAAATTTGGAAGAGAATACGTGCAAAATAAAATATAATTATGAAAAAATATAAGAGAAAAAAGAATCATATTTGAGTAGACTTCTAATGAAGACTGTTTAAAATTTAAGGTTAATAAACTTCATTTGTAGTTAAGGTTAATACATTACAAACATGAAAATAACTTTAAATCAAAAAAATTTAGAATTTTGAGTACCCCATTCACTGATGCCATTGTTACGTTAGTGAAGATTAGTAAGTCATCCGCAAAGCATAGATGGATTAGTTTTGTAAAGGCACATTTAGGATGATAGTTGAATTTTCCTTCCTCAGCCCCATTATCCAGCAGAAGACAGTTCATAGCTATTACAAAGAGATAGGGACTTAGAGGATCCCCTTGACGGAGTCCCCTCTTACCTTTGAAATAGCCATGAACTCGACCTTTATAACCCACAGTAAAGGAAGTTGTTGTGATACATGCTTCAATCTATCTCAGGTAGTCATTAGGGTTCCCAATGCTTCTAAGGCAGTTTAGTACAAAGTTCCAGCTGATGGTATCAAAAGCCTTAGCAATATAAACTTTTAAGATTATCTTTTTGGCCCGTGCTGCTTGTGATAACCGTTCACCAATTCCGTGGCCAGGATGGTGTTTTCCACTAAGAGTCTCCCTTGTAAAAATGCAGTTTGGTTCAGGAGAATAAGGTCAAGAAGAATTGGCTAGAGCATGGAAACCAGAATCTTCGAGCTAGCTTTGTAGATAGTTGAGCAGCAAGAAATGGGTCGGTAATCAGAAGACATAGGTTGCACCTGGGTGTTTAGGAACCAGAGAAAGGATGGTGGAGTTAGCAGCGGATTGAAGAAAACCCATGATGAAGAATTTCTGGATTGATGGAGTGAATTCTTCACCTAAAATACCTCAAACCGCCTTGAAGAAGCCTGAGGTTAGACCATCCAGACCTTGAGAATTTTTTGGGTTGAGCCTGTGTATCGTTTGAGAGATAGTAGAAGCATCAGGGATGGTAGACATGCTCTGGATCGAATATGGAGAGCACCAATAAGCAAGAAAAGTTTGAAACAAAGCAGAGGTGCAGCAGTGAAGGGGAGCACATCCGGAGCCAGTATGTTCTTGAAATGAGAAATAGCAAGCACCGCCATTGGTTCAGGATCAGTAATCAATTCGTCTGTGTTGTTGAGAAATGATCTAATTGAGTTAATTGCTGCCCGAACAACTGTAACCCTATGGAAGTAAGTTTTGTTGAGATCTCCTTCCTTCAGCCAGTTTATACGGGACTTCTGCTTGAAATAAGCCTCCTCGATACCCCTCAAGAACATCCACTTCTCATGAAGAGTCTGCTCCTCAAAAAATAGTTCTGCTGAAGGTTGTTGCAAAGCCCTAACAGCACATCTTTAAGCAAAATGTTAGCTGATAAAACTCTCTCTTGAATTTTGGAGAAATTCTCACTATTTAATTTCTGAATAACACTCTTTATAGTCTTAAGTTTCCAGCATAGTTCCGTGAGAGTTGTTGAAATGTTTTTGGCAAGGATCCAAGCGTCTCCCACTGTAGATAAGAAAATGGGGTGTTTGGTAAGATAGTTGAAGAATTTAAATAGTTTTGAGCCAGCTATAGGGAGGAGGGTTTCAAGGTTGAGGAGACAGGGGGAGTGGTCAGAGAACTCAGGAGCAAGGTAAATGGCTGAGCTGTTGGGCAAGGTAGAGATCCATTGGTGGTTAACCAGGGCATGATCCATTTTCTTGGTAATAAGAGAAACATGTTGCTTATTGGACCAAGTATTAAAGACACCATGGTACCTCAAGTCAAACAAATCAAGGTGAAGAATTGTATCTCTAAACTTGATCATGTCTGATGATATGACTTGGACAGAGGGTAAAGGCTTTGCTAAAGCTTATTTTTGTACCCCAATGTTAAGCCCATGTGGCTAATAAAAAGAATGTTGAAAAATAAAAGGTTTCAGAAATAGAAAAATAGCTCGGTTATTAGTGAACTAGATATGGACCCGTGTATTGCACATATTTTATTTTATGTTTAATTTTTGCGGATACATAAAAATGAAAATCTTTTGCTTATCAGACCATTTCTAATGTATTTTGTTATTTTCACTCTAAAATAAATGAACACTATAATAGAGATGAGACATGCTCCAATATATTCCTCTATAATAGCATTCTCTAAATACAAACTAGAAATAGAGGATTGCTATTTCTTCTTTTATAAACAGAGGAATAAATAAAATTCTCTATTATAGAGAAAAAATGAAAATAGAGGTGAGCTGGAGAAATTTCACCTCCAAATACCATTATAGAAATTAAATAACAATGGATTGGAGATGTTCTTAGTTCTTGAATTTTCCAGTATATATTGGTCTTAATTTTAGTAATAATAATTTGTTTCTTACATAAATATTGATTGATATTTATATTCCAATAATTATGGTGGTTTAAATAATATATTAATATTTCAATTATTTTAAAAAATAAT